TGGAACTGCCCCCTGCCCCCCAAATCCCCCCACATCCAGCCCCCCCGAACCCCCACACCCAGCCTGAGACACCCCCCCCCGAACTCCAGCCCCCTGGAATGTCCCCCAGCCCCCCCCACCGGAAAGCTCACACCTGGCCCCAGAGACCCCCTTCGGGGTACCCCCCACACCCCCAATACCCTGCACACCAGCCCCCCCTCAGCATGCACCCCCTGTACCAGTCCCTCAGTCCCCCTTCAGGATCTCCCCCAGCCCCAGAGTCCACCCCCCCGTGGACCCCCCGCCACTCAGCCGTCCCATAGCCCCCCACAGCCCAGCTGCGGCAAGTTCTGGGTGCGGGGGGGGTTCACTCCCCCCCCACCGGATCTGCTGAGGCAGCCGTCCTGGCTCCCAGCCCCTCCCCCCCCGCCTGTCCCGGCTCCCCCCACCGCGCCTGTCCTTGCTGTACTCACCTGGAGGGGGGGGGAGATCAGGGGGAGGTGTATTGGGGGGGCAGCTTAGCATCCTTGCTGGGGGGGGGTCCCTGCGACCCCCATGAGGTATTTTATGCCACGGGGGGGGGAAGCCGCTAGCCTCAGTTACACAAGAGTCCCTGGGAAGGACGCGGGGGGGGGCTGCAGCGAGTTTGCAGCAAAAGTTGCGGGGGGAGGGTGAGGGAAGCAGCCCCCCCCCAACGGTGAAAGCTGAACCCTTTCAGCTATAGCGGGTGGGGGGAGGGGATGACTGCAGGCTCCGGACCCCCCCCACGACTGAGTGCACAGCCCCTTGAGGGGAGAGCAGCGTCCCCCCGTCCCAGTCTCCAGCCCCAAAGTCCCGTCCCCCCCCGCCCCGCCAGCCGGGTCCCTGCAGCACCTGCAGTCCCCAGCCGGGACCCCAGGGGCCGCGGGGGGCTGTGAGGGGGGAGCAGGGGAACGGGGGCAGATACAGAGACGGGGGGCAGGAGCAGGGAGAGTTGGGGGGGGTCTGTTTGGGGGGAGGGTCCCTGATCTGAAACCCAAACACACTCTGGAAGGGAAAAGAAAGAGAGAAAGTGCAGGGACAGAGGGACTGGGAAAGGCTCAGAGGACGGATGGAGGGGACAGGGATGGAGAGAATGGGAAAGACTCGGCAGAGGGATTGAGGGATGGAGGGAAGGAGGGAATAGGAAAGGCTCAGCGGAGGGATGGAGGGAAAGGGAAAGGCTTGGAGGACGGATGGAGGGGACAGGGATGGAGGGAATAGGAAAGTCTCAGCTGAGGGAGGAGGGACAGAGGACAGGGAGGGAAGGAGGGAATGGGAAAGGCTCGGTGGAGGGCTGGAGGGACGGAGGGGACAGGGATGGAGGGAATGGGAAAGACTCGGCAGAGGGATTGAGGGATGGAGGGAAGGGGAAAGGCTCAGCGGAGGGATGGAGGGAAAGGGAAAGGCTTGGAGGACGGATGGAGGGGACAGGGATGGAGGGAATAGGAAAGTCTCAGCTGAGGGAGGAGGGACAGAGGACAGGGAGGGAAGGAGGGAATGGGAAAGGCTCGGTGGAGGGCTGGAGGGACGGAGGGGACAGGGATGGAGGGAATGGGAAAGACTCGGCAGAGGGATTGAGGGATGGAGGGAAGGGGAAAGGCTCAGCGGAGGGATGGAGGGAAAGGGAAAGGCTTGGAGGACGGATGGAGGGGACAGGGATGGAGGGAATAGGAAAGTCTCAGCTGAGGGAGGAGGGACAGAGGACAGGGAGGGAAGGAGGGAATGGGAAAGGCTCGTCGGAGGGCTGGAGGGACGGAGGGGACAGGGATGGAGGGAATAGGAAAGTCTCAGCTGAGGG